TGAGGCCAGCGCTTCAGCGAGAACCGCATTTTCAACAAACAGGCGCGGAAGCGCGGAAAATGAGGACACGTAGCCTGACATAGCATGGCGTGGCGACGCCCCCAAATGAGGGGGGGCTTCTGCGGCCCAACAAAACAAATACTCGACACCGAATGTGTAATCACGTCCGATGGTTTCTTCTGGTGGCCATTTTTTTGATTTTGGGGCCTATTTGGAAGGACCGAAAACCATGCCGTGGCATGGCGCTGGAAATAATGACGCCAGCGCTGCAGCGGGAGCACGACTCGGAACGAGCGGAAGCACGGAAATGAGGCCAGCGCTGCAGCGGGAACACGATTCGGAACGAGTGGTAGCCTGAAAATGAAGCCAGCGCTTCAGCGAAAGCAGCATTTCGAAAGAACACCCAAGCGAAAACCCGTTTCCCGGGAATCCTGTGTGTAAAAAAAAAACAAGTACTCGGAGGGAGGCTGGCCATTTCCAGGACGCCACCAGGGGAGAGAGGAGAGTAGTATTCAGATTGTTTAATTGTACACGGAGGGGGGGGGGGGGGAAGGGGAGACAAGAGACAAAAGACAAGTTATCCCACTTGTGGTTACGAGACGCACCACAAACCCGAAGGCGAAGTTCAGGGGCCCGCCAAAAAACTGCCCGAAAAAGCTCCGGACGAGAACTACAGCGCCGAAGTAGCACTGGTCATCGGGCAATCCCAAGCTCCATATCTTCTTTTTTCTTGTTTTTTTGGGGGGGGGGGGGGCGTGCGTGCGCTTCACTGCGCGCGATCCACCACAATCACTTGAGGACGTGTATTTCCCTGGCCAACTTCGTGTGGCTTGGGGCAAATCCTTTCTCGAGCGCCTTTGAGTACTGCTGCCCCGTACGTGTGGGAGGCGCGCACTCTTCATTCAACTTGCCAGTCGAGCGGAAATGGTCTGTCCCCAGACCGCCGCACCTCGAGCAAGCGAAACGATGCAAGAGGGAGGGGAGGAGGAGAGGGAGGACGGGCGAGGAAGGGGAGCAAAGGGGGACCAACCTGGTAAAAGGTGGAGCGGGATGCGAGCCGGGAGGAGGAAAGGCCTCACCACCACCACCAGCGCAGGGCGCCAGATTCTGGTGGTGTGGTCCCCCCATCCCCAGCGGCATGCACGTACCAAAACAAATGGCCGCCCACCCAGGCACCCCTGCCCTCTCCGCGGAGGGATCGCGAGATGGCAACGCACAAGGCTGGCGTGGGGGGTCTGGAAACCGACCCTTCAAAGAAACCGCGCCCGGGCTCCGCAAAGCCGCTCGTCGGCTCCCCGCGGCGGGGGGCGCGCCGCAGGCCGCTCGTCGTCTGCGGGCGGCCGCGGCTAGCCCACGCCACCACTGGCCACCTGGGCCTCCTCCTCCTCCTCCTCCTCCTCCTCCTCCTCCTCCTCCTCCTCGGATCCTCCTCCTCGGATCCTCCTCCTCCTCCTCCTCCTCCTCCTCCTCCCCCTCCTCCCCCTCCTCTCCCTCCTGCCCTCCTCCCCCTCCTCCTCCTCCTCCTCCTCCTCCTCCTCCTCGGATCCTCGGCCTCCTCTCCCTCCCCTCTGCCCCAGGGGTGAGCCTCACTCGAAGCCCACTGGAACGATCGCGAGGAACGGGGTGATCAAGGCCACGGCCGGCATGACCAGCGCGCAGGCAAGAAGGAGCATCGACACGACGTCGTAGAGTCTGAGAACCGACCTGCCCGTGGGGCCGATATCCTCTGCATTGTACGCCGGCCGCTCGTCGCTCGACACGCTCGGGCTGTAGTTCGGCACCACCATCTCCTGGTAAATCCATCCCAGTCGCAGGCCATCCCAGTCATCCGCGCTCACGAAGCCAAGGTCGCTGTTGATATCGTCGAGGTTGTAGAGGAAGAGAAGGCCCAGGGCGTCGAATAGCACGTTCCTTGGACTGAAGCTGGCACCTAGGATCGTGAAAGAAGCGATGGAGGTCAATAGCACGACCCATGAATTGACGATTGGTCCCAAGATCAAGAAAGGCTCGCCCCTTACATCCATGTTCGGGGTATTGTGCTTCAGGTACCGGAACGTCATGTAGATCTTCGCCCACGACTGCTTCTCCTGGAGAATAACATACAGACCATTGATGGAAAAGACAAACAAGAACAGGGTCGACAATACCTTAGTCGTCTTGATTGCCTGCCAATCCGAGAACGATGGCTCCCAGTCGCGCCAATGGATATCGTTGTCTCGAATGATCCCCCAGTCAAAATAGACGCTCGCAATGAGGAGGGGCGGGCCGAATAACTGGATCAAGAAGATGGTAATGCATCCCACAACGCGAACCAGCCTCCTGAATGTATCGGTCGGATCCGCGTCTTTTTCAGAGAATTGACTCGTTAGCGTGCCAAGAGCTGCAATCCGGTAGATGTTCCCTGGCAGCTCGTCGACGCCGCCCAGCCAGTCCTCGTCGATGTGCTCCTCCGCCGCCCAGAACATCTCGCTGATGCTGTTGGCCTCGAGGATCGAGTCCT